AGGCCATAGATAGGCCTAAATAAAATGTTTTTAATTGTGTACCAGTTTAACGTTGAATATTATTTATGATTTTAGTTTATTGTTATTATTAAATACAAATATTTACATTTCAACACTTAAAGACAGAACTTACAGCGATGTACTGTCCTAAATGTATGGTTTTTGACGGTCCAGAACCTGTTCTCAACTGATTAGACACGAGTAACAAAGACTGATCTCTCCGAATTTGTCACAATTAAAACTTTCTATATGATGCATTTGTTGAAATGGACAACCTATCTGGAGAACTGGTGATGAAATGGCGTTTCGATCCATTTTTCGCGCAGTTTCATCAGGTCTTCGTTGAAACTCTTCCCATCCTCACTTCATCTGGTACGGTGCCTTTATCAACTACTTTCAGCTTTATACTTACTTACTAACCTTGTCTTTCAAACAAATATACAATAGCAGGCTAATCCCTTGCAGGGTCGAATTTTTTATATATATATCTCCAGCTGGTGAAGTATGTAGTGTCTCCTGGTCAACTGACTCCTGTGTTATCTCTATGCTACCCCGTACATAACCTCCTGTCTAGATCTATCTTGAAGTTCCTGCGCGAGCTTAAGATCATCATGGACTTTTAAACACGGGAGTGCACGGCGTAAAATTGTTAGGTACAGTTTCCGTTGTGTGAGGCTTGCCCGATGAGAGCGTGATGTAGAACCCGGAAAATTGCGTTTTAAAGTGAGCTTTTACCGAGTTTACGTATCGCTTATTCTGCATTCATGCTGAAAATCGTCATTCATTTTACGGCAGTTAGTCGCTATTATCCTATCTTTCTGGTCGTGTTTTCCACCATGTCTACTATACGTTATAGCAACCCGTGTTGCTTAGAGGGGGTTCACCAGTAATGGGGAAAGGTAAATATATAGTAAAGTGCATTCGGAGAGGAAGAAAAATAAAGGACGTCTTTAAATGACTATGGAATTCTTTATGGACAAACTCAGAAAAATTTAAAACTTACTTGAGTTTTTATTGTGTGTAGCTGTAAACATTCTAATATTTCGTGTTAAGTTACCTCGCCCTTCGAACTAAACTAAGCACTCTGTCTACAATAAGTAAGTAAGGATTAAAGCTCTTCTTCTGTGGATAAATAAACGTAGTCAAGCGGTTGTATCGCAATTAAACTGTCTGATAAGTTGTGTGAACTATTTAACCTCTCGTTATACAATCATGTGCTGAATCTTTATACAATAAAAACAACCATCTTATCGTAAATATTTACCAGTAAAGACCAAGATTGATTGATTTAATCCAGTCATACGCTGATTATTTCATTACAGCTCTTATTCTAAATTGATTGGAAATGTCTTATTATTGCTCCTTTATTTATTAGTCTGTCGGATGTGAGTATTTTTGATTCGGTAAAGTTTAATCGAGTACGTACTTTTAATACATTTTCAAATGTATGTGCATAGGTGTAATCTACCTTTACCCTGATTTATAAACTCGCGGGACAAGAGTTTTAGATGTCAGGCACGTGTAGCGATGGCTTCGAGCTTATGACCCCTGCATTTGCAAGAAAGAACTTTATTTCTTCATATACTGACAACCACTTACTCTCAAGCCCAGCTGCTCACAGTAGGGGGCGCGTTTTCAATCTCGACATTTCTTTACTGCAAAAAAAAAGGCATGTTCCCGCCACATTTACTTCCCCATACAAGCCTATTGCATTCTCGGAGATCTGCTTTCAAATTCCATGTCACTATAGCAGTCATCCTTTCCACTTTTCAACTCGCATGGATCTAACATTAATAAGTAATATTGAAGTAAAAAAAAAAAAGAGCAGGAGTAACGGAGTGAACCAATGGCTGTAGTTCGTTAATTCAGCCATCTGCTATGCAGGGAAAATATAGGTATGGACGTGCTTTTGTCTTGTATTGACATCTATTTCACAAGGCGAAGGGCATATGCGTGGCCATAACGGCACGTGATTATAATACGTCGAGTAAAAATAGCTACTACGACGAGTAGTAATGTCACACGGGTGTCGTTGATTACTCTTCTGCTTGATGACATAAAAAGCATTAAGATATGGTTATAACTCTGTCTCCATAGAAACTCTCCAATCAGCTTGTTGTCCTTTTTCGAAAGTACTTTGAAACAAATTTATAGAAAAACTTCGACCTGCTGCTTAATGTAACAGTTATCGATGTGGTACAGCTTTTTATTAAATGCATTTTTATAAGGTGTTTTTTTTTGCCAAGTTGCTTGTGGGCCCATGACTTTGTCGATTATTATATGGGCCCCATAATAACATATGAACCACAAATTCATAATTATTGCAGTAATCTCATTAATTAGTACTGGGGTTCTCTTTTACATAGGAGAATGAATGATTTCACTCGTTGTTTGCTCAATTATTTATACTGAATGTTGTGATAAGGAAAAACAAAAAAACCTACTCAATCTAATACAATATGTGAACTCAACCGGCAGTGACCGCTATAAAAACAAGTCGGTAATTTGGGGTTAACAAGCGGCTACTGTTTTCGCCGGCAGTGTACCGAAATGTTTTCAGCGTGAAACGTCAGCAGGATTTGAAGATTCTGCCTAAGTGTATTGATCGCTATTGGTAACTTTAAAAAATAAATCTCTTCTTACTGGCGCCATCAACTATGGTTTTGCGTGTTGCAACCTGATGCATTCTGGTACTGAACGAAGAGACCTTGTCGGCAGTGGCGTGCAATCGGGATGCTAGTATGGTACTTCTTATTAGAGATTCATAGAAGAGAACCAGCAAAAAAAAACCATTTATTAAAGAAGTGTAAAAACAAACAAACAAACTAGTGACCAAAAGAACATACTTCATCAACATAAGGTCGTATATGCCATGGTAACTGATACCTTATGAATGACTGGTATAAATAACGTTTCGACTGAGGCTTGGTGTGTTGCATTCCAAGCGAACCCGATGAACTCTAGCATTGAAAGAAAGGCCTCGTCAGCAGTGTGCAGTCATGTCATGTAACACAAACTGGCGATCAATATATAACGCAGTGTAAGGTGTCATATAATATGATTATATTTTGCAAAAGTCTTAAAGATGGAAATTTTTACCATATAACTGACGTCCAGGATTTTAAGTCTCTTTTTTTAGCTGAGTGTATAATGAGGCCAATAAGAGAGAAATAGCTTAGAGTAAACCAGTTCAGAAGAGGTATATATAACATGCCCGAGAGTAAACCAGCACTGAAGATATATATATGACATGTCCTAGAGTAAACTAGCACAGAAAAGGTATATATAAAACATGCTCTAGTCAGTAAACCAGCACAGAAGAGGTATATGTAACATGCCCCAGAGTAAACCAGCACTGAAAAGTTATGTATATATATATAAAACATGCTCTAGTCAGTAAACCAGCACAGAAGAGGTATATATAACATGCCTAGTTGTCTTATCTGTTACTTGAAATTTTCATGATGTGTGTTTATATATACTGGAAACTAGATGACTAAACTGTTATTATGTACGTATCCAGTTACATTTTACACACAAAATCAGACGTTATATACATAGATAAATTATGAATAGACAGAAGGAAGAAAGGTGGATAAATACATAAGTGTGAGTGTGTACATTTATCTTAACCTTTTATCATATTTTTATAATTAACATTTACGAAGCTTGTTAAACTTAACTTCCATACCCTGAAGTTTTATGTTTATAATAAAGTTTTATGAGGTTGAAATGTTACAAGGTGTTTTAGATGTGCACATACATACACGCAAATATTTTCAGGTCACACGCTAAGATATTTTATTTGTTGGGATATTTAAGGCAGAGAACGCCTCGTACTAAGATATACGCTAATGTTTTTACTGCATAATTTATTGTTTTATCTGGGTGTAAAGTGAAAACATTTTTCTTCACGCTAAAGAAAAAGAGAAAAAATGGACGGCAAACTTTCGTTCAGTTTTTGTTTACAGTAAATGTTGTTTCCTTTAGTTATCACCAACTTAAAATGTCGCTAGTTCTTGTAAGCGCAAAGCTTCGTAATGGGCTATTTGCACTGTACCCATTGCTGGAATCTAACCTCGAATTTTAGCGTTGTAAGCCCTCGACGTTACTACTGAGCCTTTTTTTGGGGGGGGGGCATTACAAAAGCAAAATTTGGGCTGGATTTATTGAAATATGTTAACGATGAGAGCTAAGACATTACAAGCCTTTGAAACGGAGAGTTCGAGCAGTTTGGATAATATTTAAGTCAGGGAAATTTAGATTTACCCCATTCTGTCGTTAGCACTGAAAAAAGACGGATTCATTTGTTTGAAACGCTAGGGTTTATATCATGTTTTTTTTTTCTTCTTCTTTAAATAGATTTGCACCTTATGTTTATCTCTTCCTTATTTTATGTTCACTGACCCGTTCAGTTTATTTATTATTTCAGTGGACTTCGAGAAGATGCATCTCGAGAGGTACAACCCATATATCTACGATGTGCTCACGGCCATGTTGAATGGAATTATCCGCGAGGGGCGCTACAAGTTTTCTTACGCCATGGAACTTCCGGAAGAGAGTTCCGTGGCTGTTTGCGAACAAGTAAACATTTTAATGGTGCTCAGATTTATGTGGAAGGACATCGAAAACTTCATTTAATGTATAGCAAAACTGACGGGAAACACCCCGAACTTTTACGATGTTTTACCTCCTACCATGGCCAGGTGGCGCTGTATGTGGAGGCAGAACCAGTCAACAATACTCTTCAAAAAGAAGTAGCAAGTTTCAGCTACGACCTTCAACCTGTTTCACCTGAAGCCTTATTTGATGACTTGGATGGTAAGTGATTAAAAGTAGCTTTCCTTTTATGGTGGGTGGTTAGGGCGCTCGACTCGCAATCTGCGGGTCGCGGGTTCGAATCCCCGTCACACCAAATATGCACGCCCTTTCAGCCGTGGGGGCGTTATAATGTGACGGTCAATCCCAATATTCGTTGGTGAAAGAGTAGCCCAAGAGTTGGCGGTGGGTGGTGATGACTAGCTGCCTTCCCTCTAGTCTTACACTGCTAAATTAGGGACGGCTAGCGCAGATAGCCCTCGTGTAGCTTTGCGCGAAATTCAAAAACAAACAAACAAACTTTAATGGTGTTGAAACTGTTATTGCTTGTTTATTTATTGGATTTCGCGCGAACCTACTCGAAGGATATCTACACAATTCGACCACTTAACTACAGGACCCCGCTCGACTTTAAATTACTGTACCACCCATTGAAAGTGTGTGGAATATTCTAAGAACTTATGAGTAAAAGCAAAGAATATGTTATAATATGCCAACCACAATACATCTGTCATATCCGGTGCCGACGATGCTCTACGTTCAATACCTGGGACCATTAAGCCGGTTGGGATACAATGAATATAGTAGTGGTCTAGGTGTTATTTCTGTCATCAATTTTCGTGACCAACGGCCGTTATGGTGTGTACTAGATTTAGTAAGCGAATTATAATTGTTGTCAATTTTTATTTAAGTCATTTACAAATCATATTTTATGACAATAATTAATACCAAAATATTGTTTACACTGATTACTTATTATTTTTAAATTAACTTTACTGTCCTTCAGAAGAACTGGCGAACCAGCAAGCTAGTCTTCTTGTTCCCGGAGCGGGTCATGTAACCACAGCGACCAGGGTCAACAGGAGAAAACTATATTATAGTAATTCAAATAACTAATGAGGGAGAGAAAAAGAAGAATATGTTATTATGCACATTCTACAATTACAATATATCATGAACTACAACATTGTTACTAGACGTTACAGTTATAAGATTTATTTGTTATGTAGTCAGTAATCATAGTATAGTAGAATATTCCATTAATATAGTGAATTCATGCTCAATATGTTTTTGGAGAAAGATTCAACACTTTTTTTTCCTTCATCTTCTCATTCATTTTAATTAGCCTAGTTAAGTTTCGAGGTTCTGCACTTACTTTCCTCTAAATTTGAATATTTACTATGTTATTTTCAGCAAGAAATAATGTAAACCTTGCGTTTTAAATGTTTATCTTGGTTACTGTAACAAGTATATTTGCACGATGAACATTGTGAGTTACAGTTAACAAAACACGAAATTCAGGCAGTTCAAGTTAAGACAGACTCTTAAAGACGCCAGGAACTGTGCTGACACCTGTACTACAATGAAGATATTTCATAAAACAGACTAATTATTTGCTTTTCTGGGCACTGATTATGCAAGCATCTTCTACCAACAATCGTAATTTTACATAAACTTGTCTCAGAAAAATGTATACTGACAGTTTCTATTGTCAGGAACATCAGTGAGTCTTTTATTATAAAACAATTACAAAGTCACTTAGAAACATAAATTCAACCAGATAAAGGGCTGTTATATTGGGCGAGAGCACAACAACAATTGGTAGATTGTTGTGTTCTGTTTACAAACTTAAATAAATCATTGATGTAGAGTAGCTGTCACACCACTACTTAGGGCTAAATTTCTAGGTTATGGTATATTTTCACTGAACGTGCTTCTTCTTAGTGACTTTTGTTACAAATTTTTCATTATTGCACGACATTGGTGAATGTTGATAATAAGAATGTAATATAAACCACATAGCATACGGAGGTAGCTCCCCTACTGGATTTTAGTCCAGAGTGTAACTTCAATATTTTATAATTATTTGTTTTCATTATTGAATAATTCAAATTAAATAATTCAATTATTCAAAATTTTTCATTATTGCACGACATTGGTGAATGTTGATAATAAGAATGTAATATAAACCACATAGCATACGGAGGTAGCTCCCCTACTGGATTTTAGTCCAGAGTGTAACTTCAATATTTTATAAATATTTGTTTGTTTATAGTTACGCACAAATGGGCTATCTGTGCTCTGCCCACCGCGGGTAACGAAGCACACTTTTTAAACTTGTACGCCTTCAGACCCGAGCCACAATGGAGGGGGGGGGGTGCTTTTATAATAATAATAATTAACAAAATATTGTGTGGACATTGCAATTTTATTCGGCAACTATTGTTTCTGCTACATGACTGAAGGAAGAACAATTAACTTATTTTGTTGCACATCATCTGACAGTTTCAAAGAAAAGTTTGTACGCATTTTATAATTATGTACAAAGTAGAAATGTTATCAAGAAAATGTGAAAGTGATGATTAAATAAGATGCCACTAACGTATTATTTTGTAAGTTTTAATGGCTCTCCTTTTTTCTTTGGTTAGTAGTTTAACTAAATATAAAGGTGTGATACAATTATTGTCAGTTTTCCCAGTATCTAATCAATTAAATCTGAATGTGAAGAAGTTTTAACATTTCAGTCAGGCTGAGTCTGTACAATTCACGCTGTTTCAGTTAATAATTAATCTTATTTTAGAATAAAAATATTATACCATTTAATTTAATTAATCTGAGTGTTATGAGTTAATTAATGTATCTGAGATTATGAAGCTGATGTTATACCAGTTAAGTAACTAATCTGGGTATTGAAATACGCAACTGTTTCAGTTCCACAAAATTGGTTATATTATTTTTATAGTATTCTAATTAGTATACTTAGGCGTGTAGACTTGATACTATTTCATACAAGTAATCAGTGTAGTGTGTCCCTATAGCGCTGTGGATAGCGCGTTGGATTTCTATTCCAAAGGTACCGGGTTTGTTCCCCGGCAGGGATGCCACCACCTTTGCCTGGTTCCAGGATGAGAAAGGAGGAGGGTTGGGCTAGCAACTCCGTCCCGTAAAAACCAACCTGCTAAAAAATTACTGCAACAATAACTTCCGTCGGCGAGGTGTTGTTGGGGTCCAATGCTGCAGTAGGAGTCTACAGGGATTATTATTTATTATTAATCAGTGTAGTAATGATACTACTTTAGTTATTTAAAATAACCTGATATTATTCGCCTTCTTGAAGACTACAGGCGAAACTTGTATCCACTTCGAAGATCCAAGAATCAATTGAGCTGCGTAATTGGTTATTTTGTTGTTTTTACTTGTATTATCTCTGTTTAAACGATGTAAACCCTCAGAGCAAATCATTTCTGAATGCCAGCAATATGCATTTAGTAAAACAGTCTGTATGTTTAGTTGTGTATTCTGCCAATCAGGAGGAGGGGGTTGGGGATCGAAAGACCACCCCAATATTCTAAAATGTCCACTATTTTCTGATTTTGTTTTTTAATAAGCAATTGAATATCATGTAAGGTGCTTAAATTCTTTGTCTAGAAGAAAAGTTGCACCTTTTTATTTGGGGGGGGGGACTCTTCTCCTCATGCCTTTACCTTGTAGCGCTGGCTACGCCCTTGGTTTCAACTCCTTAGATAAATTACTGTTGTTATAAGTGGGAAACAATAAATCATTTTGGAATTAATATGAATTTATTTTTAAAAATTTCACATGTGTGTCCCACATCACATAGGTTTTAGTCTACTTCATGTTCAACGACTTAAGTTCATGTTGTTGTTTTTCCTGAAGATGAAGTGACAGTGCGCTCATCTCCTGTTATTTTGTCTTAGTTTAATGGCACGAGGTTCTAGTATTCTAAGCTAGAATTCTACCAATGAATGGAGAACGATGCTGAATAAACATCAGTAGTGTTACTGTCTAAACAAATGTAACGTTGTGCCTACATCCAGTTTCTTCCGTATCGTCCACATCCTCCATTCCCGAGAAAAATTCCAATTTAGAACGCTTGAATCTGTTTCTACCAAGTTAAGTAAACTAGCTGTTAATCAGAAGATGAGTGGACTACCACTACACTCGCATCACAACTTATCCCAATTCACTTATGATAAATCTTGTCTTATGGCCTCAAAATTGGCTTTCCGAAAGTTTTGGAACATTTGTTCCCAACTTCGTTTCATAATTGTTTAATACCAGTTTATTCTGGTGTCCGTATATACGTAGTGGTTAGCTTAGTGAAAGTGCAGTATGTTATTTGTACCATCAGCCCCTATATCCACGCATGTTACGTCTCCTCTTAAACGAAACAATTATTTAGAGGTGACGAAAACATATCATTAATATTCGTAGCAAAAAAAGAACGCCACCTACCCTACACTTTCTCCCACACAAAGGACCATGAACTTGTGGACGTCAAGACGGATGTCGTGACTGACCTGCCCTCTATGGCAGCGTGAGAAAGTTAGTGTGTGAGAGCGTCGTTCTGCTCGGATCTCGTCGTTTAGAAGGTAACATTTTCATACAAGAGTTATTAGCAGATTTGGCACTCGAAGTAAGGCCTGAACATTTACCAATTTGTCATTACGACGATTCTCTTTTTAGCCACGCTCGTCGTGACTGTTATTCGATAAATAATATTTAATGTTTGTTAGTTAGTTCCTTTTCGACATACCATCTTTGATTTTATCCGTGACGCAGCTATTATGCTCAAAGCTGTTCTATTAGTATTGGGAAAATAAATTTGTTTTCCAATTATTGCTAGATGTCTTTTTTATGATTTCACTAATTGTTAAGTGTATTTTACTTAATCTGGTTTCGGACATTGCGCATTTAGGTGTTTTTTTTCTGTTTTTGTTTTACATATTATGGTATCGTGTATTTAACTTATTCTGACATCGTACGCCGTGAAATTATTATGGGGTGTGGTTTTATACACTTATTCACGGTGTATTTTACGTATTCAAATCTTTTATGGTGTGGAGTTATTATTAGATGTCACGTTACACATTCAGTTATTATTGGGTGTCACGTTACACATTCGGTTATTGTTAAGGCTGTATTTCACAAACAGTTTTTTCGCACATTTTGAAAAATTACGCGAACCCGTGAGTTGCAAC